ATCGTTTCAAGAGCTTGCATGTGATCAAGAATACTGAAGAATAAGTCCAAAATAATGAAAGCATTCACCAAAAATGAGGCTCTAGGAATTGATGCAATAAGCTGATGAAACACTGGAAGCATCCAATGGTCTGTGCTATGGAAGCAGGAAGACAACTGCCTGGCCAACAGACTGGCAGAGATCCATATATGTAAACTTTCCAAAGAAAGATGACCCAACAGAATTAGAAAATGATGGAACAATATCATTCTTTTGCTGGTCAGTCAACATGAGTTCAGCAGTGCATTGACAGGTTGCTGCCAGAGGTTCATTCAGGATTCAGACAAAGATGTGGACCAAGAATATCATTACTGATGTCAGAAAGATCTTGCCTAAAAACAGGGAATACCAGGAAGATGTTTAATTATGTTTAATTAAGTGCAAATGTATTCAAGGGTATGGGTCATAAAAAACAAGAACTGTGGATAGCCTTGATAAGAAAGTTAATTCCAGAACACTTCATTGTGCTTATGTTGAACTTGTTCTTGTCATAAGGGGCAGCCATTTGAAAAGAACATGGGTGACTTAAAATCAAGAAACGTATGTGTGCATCGTGTTACCAAAGCGCATTCACTCTCTATGCTGAGCAAGAAATCAGAGAAGAGGAATGCAGCATCAAGAATGAAGGAAGGCTTGTTAATCGTCTTCAGGAAGAAGAGGACACACCATGTTTTCTGAAAGTGGTCATTTGAAGCAATTGCTGATAAGGACCACGCACTGCAGCCTTCAATATGGATGACAAATCAAATAAACAAGATGAAAAATTTCACGCCTAGTCCCATACGTAATACCATGATAAACAAAGAAAAGTTTGTAGTCAAGGATTTCATTTTGCATAAATTCACAATCAGTGCTCACGTAAGCAGAATCAAGAAATCACACGACACGACAAATTGGGTCAATGCTGGACCAGACCTCTTTGAAGTGTTGAGAGTAAGGTTGTCATGTTGAGGACTAAGTCATGGTATTTTTATCTAATCCATGCTATTTTCAGTCATCTCATATGCTTGTGAAAGTTGGACATTGAATAAGGAAGACAAAGAAGAATTGATGCCTTTGAATTATGGTGTTGGTGAAGAATAATGAAAGGTTTTTTGACTGCCAACAGAACAAACACAACCTGTCTTGGAAGTACCACTGGAATAGTGCACTTCATGTCACCCACACTGGACACATTGACAGGAGGTTATCAGTCATTGACAAAGGACGTCATGTTTGGTAAAGTCGAGGGGCAGTGAAAGAGTGGAAGAAACTAGAGAAGATAGATTAACACAGTAGCTGCAACAATGGACTGAAGCATAGCAATTGGGATAATTCTCCACACCTGGGCATTCTGGGAGTTGGAACTCACTCTACGGCACTTAACCACAAGAGTACACTCAGAGATGTTTGCTGCTAAGGAAAAAGGAACAGTATACATATATGATTGACATATTCCTTATTTTAAAGTTGTAGGATATATTTAAGCTTTTCTGAAAACTTTATTTTCAGATATTTCAATTAGTGATATATTTCTGTATGCCAGGCACTAAAGTGAGTGCTTTAAATACAGCTAGCCAATAAACCCCCACACGCATATCACATGAGATAGCATTGTTACTCTCAGTTTATAGTTGGGAAAATGGCAAGTTAGGAAAAGTGAATAAATTGAATAAAAGTGAATAAATATTTCCCAAATATGCACAGGATGTGTGTTCAAAGACAGCAAATACGACAATATAGATTATATTCTTAACTGCAATTGCATTATACTACCTTGAATACATAGCCAGCTAGACGGTAGATATTTTATTGAGTAAGACAAGAAGAAATAGCAATAGTATTTAAGCACATCAGGAATATGTTCTAGTACCGTTTATTAACTTATGACTTCTATAGCTTCATTAGTAAATTCAATTCAGTCTGTGAATACTTCTTACCAAAAATAAGTAAACTTACATGTCTAAAGTGATACTGTGCAAGCATTTGGGAAAATTTAAAACAAAAAAAACAACAAATATGGCTATCAGAAATGGTAGAGGTATGAATATAAGTTCATAGTCTTGAAACACTGAGAAAATATTTAATACTTTGTGAAACAAAGGAGATATTCTCATAAATTGATTATATTTTTATAGTCACTTTGAGCATTAAGAATTTTAAAATACAGTGTGATCAGAATGAGCCCCTGTTGACAGAACCATCCATAATAATATGATATTCTTTTATGTGAGACTTGAAAATTCCAAATATCCTGTATTACACTAAGGTTCAATCTAGCAAGGGATTTCCAAGAGACACTTTTATGAGTTGTTTGAAAATTTCTTTGCAAAGGTCAGTTCCCCACAAGATTGATATTGGTAGCTGGTTCAAAAGCAAAATCCTGTGCTTTATGTCTGATTAGAGTTTAGAGACAAAAACAAGAGATGGGTTTTAAATTCTTTGTTTCCTAAGCTGAATTATTCAGAATTGTTTTCAAGAGTGTTTGAATCCATACTCATCAACAAATCTTCCTGAAAATTCCATGGAAATTCAGTTTTTAACTTGTGAGAACTTCAGCTTCCTTCTTAAGTAAAACTTGGAATTTTTAGAGCTTATTATTTGCTTCCCTCTGGCAGCTGCCGTATCGCTGTGAGCATTACTGTTTCTGCCATCATTTATGACATTCTTCATAGGATGTTAGTCAGGAATTTTTTGTCTTAGACTCTATCCTAATGCAGATTTCACCACCAAAAGAGCCCTACACTTTAATGAAACACTAAAATATTTTGGCAGCATGAGGACTGAAATCAACAAAGTGGTAAAAATCTAAGTTATCTGTTGTCTTCTCAGAGGATTAAGATAAAAACAGTCAATAGATTCTGAAGCTATTGACATGGCCAAATATTTAATCATTGTGTAAGATTGATTTAATATATTAATATATATGATAAATGATAATTATAATAATTTGTGGTAGATAAAAATTTGAAAAAATAAAGTTTATTCTTATTGCTTAAAGAAGAATCTTAGAGAGATGATGATAAACAATGGTTATTTCAACTTTTGCAGCCCATAAATTATACCAATGGCAATTAGTGCATTCCTTTGATGATTATTTTATAACAGTTTCTGGGGAACCCATCAGAAGAAGAAACGAAAATACTTCCATAAGAACAAAAATACTAAATGAAGAGAATGAATAATCTGACCCTAGAGAAGAATGAAAGCAGAAATACAGAAATTACTTTCATGTGTATGATAAAAAAGTGTTATTAGTTGTGTATATTAGTGGTGAATCACTTGAGATTGTGAAAATATTAAAAACTAACATAGTTTTTAAGATTTTAAATGAATCCATTTTGTTCATTCATACACAGATTGTAAGTAAACTCTTGGGAGAAAATAACTCGTTCAGTCATAAGTGTTTCCCACAGTAGTTTATAACTCCCCAGAGAACAAATCAGCTGTACAGAATATTTTCAAAAATTCTGGAATGAAAGGGATTCTAATAAATTATTAAACATTATTTATTGATATTGACATTATTTAGAGAAACACTATAGGACGTATTAGTCATGTGCTCTCATTGACAATAACAATCCAATCAACTAAGATTTTCCAAGTTGTCACACATGGATTTCAGATGAGAACCTGCCGTGAAGATTTCAATTACTTGATCCCTGTGTGAATCTTTGTATGAGTAGTGTTAGTTCGGTTTTGTCCATAACTTCTCTTTCTCTATTTCTATCTTTGACCTTTGTTTAAAACTTGTGTACCACTGCATAGAGAATGCAATTTGGGGTGACGTCAAATTAGTTCCTACTCACAGATGCCTTCTGAAGAAAACACTGCATGGACTTTTGACATCCTGATATAATTTCTTTCGTTTTATGGGTGGAGAATAAACTGATATAATTATTAAAACATTTTAGACCCCTAGACAGCTAAATTTTTCTTGCAAATTATTGCATTATGATTCTGACATACATCATATTTTGTAAAACAGGGTAATGCAGGTTCATTCACTGAGGGAAAAATTACTAATATTTTAGAAAAGAAGAAGACAAAACTAAATGTTTCTAAGCTGACATGCATCAACTTAAATTCTTGATAGGAAGTAAATTTAAAAAGATCTTTAAGGGGGAACCAATCACAATAATCGACATATAACATCCCACCTGCCCCCCTTCCCAACAGGGGGATGAACAATAGAAAAGTGGGTGAAAGGAGAAAGTGGTCAGTGTAAGATATTAAAATAATAATAATTTATAAAGTATCAAAGGTTCTTGAGGGAGAGAGGAAAAACTGAGGAGCTACCAAGGACTCGAATAGAAAGAACATGTTTTGAAAGTGATGGTGGTAAAATATGCCCAAATGTGCTTGATGCAATGGACGTAGGTATTGATTGTTATAAGAGCTGTAAGAGCCCTCGTTAAAATTATTAAATAAAAAATGTGATCTTTATAGTCCCAGGAAAAAAATTTAGTCACTTAAGTTATTCAATCAATTCATTTTCTTTTGTGACACTCACCTTTAAAAAAACAAATTGTGTCAATTTGACCATTAAAAATTAAACTATTTTGGTACCTATTCCTAAATTTCAGACATTACAGGCAAGGGCTGTGGGTTTCAACATCTCTCTATCAACTGGAGACATTGAGTTAAAGCAAGTGTCTGAATAAATTTTGCTAATAGCAAGCAAGCAAAATTTTAGCCGTAAAACTCATTCCTGTGAGCTCAGCAAAGTTCCAGGTACTTTTAAGTACTTTGTGTGATTGACTCAAGGTACATGCAACAGTATTTTAACAGCATGATCCAGCTAACCTTTAGGTGGATTCTCATTATAATATTCTCTGAATAATGCCAATTCACATATATAATACAGGGAATTAATTTTGTAAATTTTTGGACTCAATTAGTATCTTAACTCAGAAATTAATATCATTATTAAGAATTGTTTGGTTTAAAAAAAAAAGAATTGTTTGTTGTTGTTTTTTCTTCACTGTGCAACCCGCTTCAGTGCCTGAAATCCATGGGGTAATAATGCCAGGCAATGGTTCAGGGTTACAGTTTGCTTTGGCATGGGACACTGTGAGAGGCCCATGGGATCGGACCTGCCATAAATCCAAACCCATGCACAAGAATTGTTTTACCTGAGGAAATACTATGTTGAATATTTTAAGGGTGTGGTTAAAAGTATGTCCAATTTTATGTCAACTAAGAGCAACCACGATTACTTTGTCTAGTTAATCAGTCTCTAAGGGAAAGACTAACGTTACCATGTGCACATCTTTATTGTTGCTGTTGTTAGATTTCATGGAGTTCAATCCTTACTCATTCTGACAGTTCTTTCCGGACATTTGCTTGTTCCACTGTCAATCCATAGTAATTTCATTTATTCAACTTTACCACAATTCAAATGCATCAGTTCTTTTCAGGTATACTTTATTCATGGTCCATTTTTAACCTGCATGTGAAGTAATAGATCAGTCTCACTGGGTGGTGATGCCATAGGGTGGCACGGTACTTTTACAAATGTATCCAGACTAAGGGAGGGAATATTCATCATTGTTCATGGAGAATGGAAAGAACTTCTGTTAAGTTTGGGTCCAATTCTCACTGTCCTTTATTTGGTCAAGTCAGAAGTGTCATGGCAATGTCCTAGATGATGGTGAGCTGTCATGACTTGTGTGAGTGTGGTATTTATTATTGTAATGGACAACGAGGCTTCTTTAGGACATCCTTTCCCTGTCGTGGATGCTCATGATGGGAAAGAGTTCTCTAATTACAAACTCTTCGAATTGGTAAATCTCACTGTAGTTCATCAGTTGAATTCTTAGGTGTTTTTCAGTGGAATTTTCTGTTCTTTCCCTAACATTCTTGATGTCATACACACCTTTTACTGTAACCTAAAGATTAATATATTTAAAAACAAATCAATGTGATATAATACCATTATTGCATGTAATTTCGAACATTAAATGAATATTGCACAGTCACATAAGTATTTTTTTTCGAATTAGTATAACTATTAATGTTAAAATAAGAGCATTTTCTGTATCTCAAGAAAATTATATCGAGAGACTTCTTTAAAATTTCTCAAAAAGCCTTTAGAGTAGGTTCATCTATGCTGGAGCCGGGAAGTATGTATATTAATCCAATTTATGCTTCTAGGTTTAAGAATGCCCAAATATAAAAGTACTCAGAAGTGAAATTAAAACAAACAAAAAACCCAAATTATACTTGCCTGTTGTGCTATGCCGGGTTCTTTGTAGAAACAAAACCAGGACAGTAATGAATATATATATATATGTAAAAGGATAGGTTGGTAGCAAGAAGGAATATAATGACTAATTAGTCCACACAGCAGTAGAGAGGGCTCAGTTCACCTCACTTTCCTGGAACAATTAATATACTGAAAGTCCTTCAACTCACAAGGGATGCTGGTCCAAGGTCAAGGAAGCAGACAGTTCAGTCTGCCCTCAGACAAGACAGGCAGCATTGCCCAAGCAGCAGACAGCAGGGAGGGGAAGCCACAGTCAGTAGTGTGGGAGCATAGCAAAGCAGGCCCCAATGGGGTCTCAAGTTCTAGCAATGTTTGCATGGCAACATGGCACACAGTGAAGCAGGTTTCAGTGGAGCCTCATGCTCTAGCTATGCACAGCAATGTGATGCAACCTACAGGTTGTCTCGGCCCACAGGTAGCGCAGCACACGGTTGAGGCACAGGACTAGCTTAAATAGCAGAATGCTGGTCTCATCACAAGGTAGAAAAAGAAAGCATTTATCTTAGTCACCCCCGCGCCCCCAATCAAGCTATGACCTGATTATACTCCACACACATAATCCTACAGAGGCCTAATTGACTAGCACATTTGTATACTTCTATTTCATGGTTTCTATATTTCTAGCTAAGGAGCCCTAGTAGTTTACTATGATACTCATTAGCATGCCAACTGAAAGGTCAGCAGTTATAGCCAGGAGCTGTTCTGTGGCAGAAAGATGAGGTTTTCTACTCCAGTGAAGATTTACAGTCTCAGAACCCATGGCTGTAGTCCTACCATGTCTTATAGTGTCACTATGAGTCAAATGGACTCAATGGTAGGTGAGCAATAACAGTGCATGGGTGTAGCAATAACAGTGCATGGGTGTGTATAACCTAGAATAATTGACCATTTTGAACTCAAAGGGGCATTATCTACTCAAGGTCAAAATTTTAAAAGTGTTCGAAAAGCAGAAGGATCAGAGACTGAAACACAGGAAGGGTCTGATGATGGATGTTACTACACTGATGGGACTACAGTGAAGGAGATGAAGCAGAAGGCAAATCAATTTTGAATGTAACACTGATAATGTGCTCTGTAAACCTTAACCAAATTCTGAGTAAAATGTTATAAACAAACAAAGAAACAAAATAAAAACATATCTTCATTGTGTTAAAGAGCAAAGATGTCACTTTCAGGGCTAAACTGAGCCTGACCGGAGCCATAGTATTTTCAGTTATCTCATTTGCAAGTAAAATTTCAATGAAAAATCTCACTGCCACTGAGTTGATGTGGACACACAGCAACCTTATAGGACAGGGTAAAACTTCCGCCTTGAGTTTCTGAGACCCAATCTTTACAGGAGTAGACAGCCTTGTCTTCTCTGAAAGAGCTGTTGGTGATTTTGAACCACCAACCTTCTGCATCACAGCCCAACTTGACACCAATGTACTACTAAGCATCCTAAATATAGGCAATGAATAAAGATGACTAGGCAAAAAAAAATAATTGCTTCTTAATTATGAAGCTGGTACAAAATACTTGAAAGATGTTTACTGGTATTTTATTGACTATGCCAAGGCATTTGACTATGTGAATAATAACACACTATAGATAACATTGAGAAGAATGGGAATTCCAGAACAGTTGATTGTGCTTATATGGAATTTGTGCATCAATCAAGAGGCAGTTGTGCAAGCAGAATATATGAATACTGCCTGGTTTACCATCAGGAAAGATGTGCATCAGAATTTTATCCTTTCACCATACTTATTCACTCTGTATTCTGAGCAAATAATCAAAACCTTCATGATATAAATAACAACATGGCATCAGAATTGGAGGAAGGCTTAATAACAACCTGAAATATGCAGATTATATAACGTTGCTTGTTGAAAGTGTAGCAGACTTGAAGATTTTCTGGTGGAGATCACGGATTACAGGATTACAGTCTTTGGGATAGACTCAATGGGAGAAAGGCCACATCCTCACCACTGGACCAATAGGTAACATCACAGTTAGTGGAACAAAGTTTTAAGTTGTCAAGGATTTTGTCTTGCTTGGATCCACAGTCAATGCTCAAGAAAGCAATAGTCAAGGGATCAAGAGACACATTGCATTAGGTAAATCTTCTGCATAAAAACTCCTTAGAATAGTGAAAAGCAAGGATGTTACTTTGAAGACCAAGGTGTGTCTGACCCAAGCCATGATATTTTCAACTGCCTCAGAGGCAGTGAAAGATATATATATTATCTAAAGAACACCAAAAATTGATATATTTGAAAAGTGGTGCTTGAGAGGAATATTGAAACTGCTGTGGACTATTACAAACAAACTGGTCTGTCTTGGAAGAGCTCTGGCCAGAGTGCTCCTTGGAGGCAAGGATGGCAGGATTTCCTTTTACATATTTTGGACTTGTCAGGACAGAGCAGTCTCCATTCAAGGACTTGGTAAAACGGAGGGAGAGTGAACAAAGAGAGGAAGGCCCATGACGAGATACATTGCCACAGTGGCTGTAAGAATGGGCTTGGGCCCAGGAATGGTCGTGATGATGGTGTGGGATGGGCCAGTGCTTTGTTATGTTGCTTATAGGGTTGCTATGGGTCCTGGCTGACTTTAAGGCATCTAACAACAAAAAAATCACTAAATATTATTGAATGAGCAATGGATTGCCAAGAAAATGAATAAATCTCTTCTGGGAGCATTACAGTCAGAATTCTTCTTAAAAGCAAGGATGATGAGAATTAATCTCAGACACTTTTGACATAATATCAGGAGGGATCAATTATGGAAGAAGGACTTGGTGCTTGGTAAAGTAGGATGTCATTCACAAGAGGAAACCCCGTAAGGAGATGCGCCATCACAGTGGCTCTAACACTGGGAGAAATCATAACAATTCTGAGGATCGCTCAGGACCAGGCAGTATTCTCTTCTCTTCTGTTGGACATAGTTTTTCTATGAGGCACAACTGAGTAGACAGTACATATGATCAACAACATGTAATAAACAGGTTTTATGCACAGCATCCAATCTCTTTCCCTTATTTCAGTAAATGGAAAACAATACAAAATGGGAGTGAAAAATAAATGGATAGCAGTTTGGGCTCCATTAAATCTAAACTTCAGTAATGTATTCCATATTCCACCTTTAGAATTCTTTTTTTTTTTAACATTTTATTAGGGGCTCATACAACTGTTATCCCAATCCATACACACATCAATTGTGTAAAGCGCATTTGTACATCATTCTCAAAACATTTTCTCTCCACTTAAACCCCCGACATCAGGTCCTCATTTTTCCCCTCCCTCCCTGCTCCCCCCTCCCTCATGAGCCCTTGATAGTTTATAAATTGGTATTTTGTCATATCTTGCCCTGTCTGACGTCTCCCTTCAACCACTTTTCGGTTGTCTGTCCCCCAGGGAGGAGGTCACATATAGTTCCTTGTAATAGGTTCCCTCTTTCCTACCCATTCTCCCTTTACCCTCCCTGTTTCGCCACTCAAACCACTGGTCCTGTAGGGCTCATCTGCCCTGGATTCCCTGTATTTTCAGTTCCTATCTGTACCAGTGTACATCCTCTGGTCTAGCCAGTGTTGCAAGATAGAATTCGAGTCAAGGTAGTGGGAGCGGGGAGGAAACATTTAGGAACTAGAGGAAAGTTGTATTTCTCATCGTTGTTACATCGAATTCTTATTTGATTTTGCCATCATCTAACTTACACGTTGAAATCTAAAACTAGGCAGTTCCATGACAAAAAATAACCAAAGTATTTACTTTGGTTGTTTGTTTTGTGGTAGTTCCACCTTACCCCCAAAACAATAACAACAAAATCTGATTAAATGTTTAATATATTTCCTCCTCTACTTCAAAGTATGT